ATGCATCTGGCAACATTCCCAGCTCAAGAGTCATGGCTTGATGCTTAGTGTTTCATGTGTTTCCAAAAGTCTGCTTCTCAAAAAAAAAGGACCTGGACGACATTTAGGGAACACGCATGCAGCATTTCAGGTTGCAGTTGGGGTAGAAGTCACTCCCCGTTGGTGCAATCTGTAGTCCACTGATGTCGTAATTCTTGCAGATTTTTGTAGCAAGTGTCAAACTTCTCCTCCATCCTCCTGGCACCGAACCTCGGATCTCGGATAGATCGGATAGCACCAAAAGAGTGAAGAAATGTGCGGATGACGTGAGAGGAGCGAGCCAAGAAGCGCCGAAGAAAAATGTCACTGGAACCGAAGAAGAATATCTAAAGTCCAGAGCATAGCTTTAGGCTAAACTTTAGGCATTGCACCGTGTTGAGTGAACATACTGGAGTGACCACACAGAAGCGTGACACATCATGAAACATAATAAAACACTTGCAACTGCCAGGCCCGGCGAAATTAGTGCAGCTTTGCCACATGCGGACTGTGCGAATGTTGGTTAGGGCTTGAGTTGCGCAGCCCTGGGCATCTGCAAGGAAGGTGTACCTTGCCAGGCTTCCATGAGCGTCAAGTTGGTAAATTATCCTTAGGAAGAGAATCGGTTGCTATCTTCTGGTTCTTCTATGTTCTCCTTCCTGGTTCTTATAGTTGTTCAGTTTGTGTTTGCATTGGACTCAGAGGAATCACACCCATCAGCGATTGAAAAGCTTGGAACATTCAAAGAGTTGCTCAAAGAATCAAGGCATCAATGATTGTTTTTTTTTCCCGAATGCGTAGCAAGGGTTCCCGTTTCACTCTGGGGGTCTGGGGGTTGAGGGTGTGTTCGCTCGACGTTGCGTTCGCGAGCGCAACCGTCCGCAACCGTTCGTGCGAGGACCATATGGCCGTGCCTATGGGAAGTTCTGCAGAGGTGGTCATTTTTGGAGGTTTCAGACGTGTCGTTGCTTCGTTTCGCGTGGCAGGCGTGGCACTTCGTGACATTCAGACATGTTTCGCAACGTGTTGAAAATTGTTTTGCGTGGCAGGCGCAATACTTTTGTGTCGTTTTCAGAAGATGTGTTGCAGTTTTCGTGGCAGGCGCAGCACTTTCGACGTGTCCATCGTCATTTTTCGTGGCAGGCGCAGCACTTTAGACGTGTCATGTTGCGTGTTTTTTGGTAAATCGCATTGGCAGGGCTGCGTCAAGTGGCGACAAGGTGCAAATTCCGTGGCAGGCATGGCATTTTGTGCGATGTGCTGAAAATTGACGGAAGCCTCGCACGAAACATCGATTTTGAGGTTGCAAATTTTCAGGTTCTAAGGAAAACTCGTAGGAAAACGTCGATTTTGAAGCTACAAAGTGTGAAAATTCGAGGAAGTCTCGGACGAAATGCTCGTTTTGGTGCTCCCACCTGTCTCGTCTCGAGTCTCTGGTTTTCCCGTGGCCTCGCCGTGTCTATGGGGGAAGCTGCAAAACTTGTCCTTTTGTCACGTTGCCAACTGTGAAAATTGGAGGAAGTCTCGTACGAAATGCTGGTTTTTCTGCATCCACGTGTCTTGTCTCGAGTTGCTGGTTTTCCTGTGGCGTCGCCGTGTCTATGGGGAAGCTGGCAAACCTGTCCTTTTCGAATGTTTCCAAGCAGGTTGTCATGTCGTTTTGCGTGGCAGGCGTGGCACTTTGTGACATTCCAACCTGTTTGATAACGTGTGGAAAATATCAAAATTGGAGGAAGTCTCGCACGAAATGCTCGTTTTTTTGCATCCACGTGTCTCGTCTCGAGTCTCCGGTTTTCCTGTGGCGTCGCCGAGTCTATGGGGGAAGCTCCGCACTCCACACTCTACACTTTACACTCCGCACTCCACAATTTACACTTTAGACTCCACACTCTACAATTTACACTCCACACTTTACACTTTGCACTTTACACTCCTCACTCCTCACCTGAGACTTTACACTCCACACTCCACACTTTACACTACACTCTACACTTTCCACTCCTCACTCTTCACTCTACACTTTACACTCCACACTCCACACTTTACACTACACACTCCTTACTTTACACTCCACACTTCACACTCCACTCCACACTTTCCACTCCACACTTTACACTCCACACTTTCCACTCCACACTCCACACTCCACACTCCACACTTTACACTCCACACTTTACACTCCTCACTCCACACTTTACACTCGTCACTTTACACTTTACACTCCACACTCTACACTTTACACTCTACACTTTACACTCTACACTCCACACTCCACACTCTACACATTACACTCTACACTCCACACTTTACATTTTACACTCCACACTCCACACTCTACACACCACACTCTACACTTTCCACTCCACATTTCCCACTCCACACTACACTTTACACTCCACACTCCACACTTTACACTTTACACTCCCCACTCCACACTCCCCACTTTACATTCCACACTCCACACTCTACACTTTTCACTCCACACTCCGCACTCCACACTCCACACTTTACTGTACACTCCACATTCCACACTTTACACTTTACACTCCTCACTCCACACTCCACACTTTACACTCCTCACTTTACATTCCACACTCCACACTCTACACACCACACTCTACACTTTCCACTCCAAACTTCACACTCTACACTTTAGGCTCCACACTCCACACTTTACACTCCACACTTCACACTCCACACTTTACACTCCTCTCTCCACACTCCGCACTTTACACTCCACACTTTACACTCCACACTTCACACTCCACACTTTCCACTCAACACTCCACACTTTCCACTCAACACTCCACACTCCACACTTTACACTCCTCACTCCACACTCTACACTCCACACTTTACACTCCACACTCCACACTCTACACTCCTCTCTCCACACTCCTCACTTTACACTCCGCACTCTACACTCCACACTTCACACTCCACACTTTCCACTCAACACTCCACACTTTACACTCCTCACTCCACACTTTACACTCCACACTTTACACTCCACACTTTAAACTTTACACTCCACACTCTACACACCACACTCTACACTTTCCACTCCACACTCCACACGCTACACTCTACACTCCACACCCTACACTTTACACTCTACACTTTACACTCTACACTTCACACTCCTCACTTTACACTCCACACTCCACACTCCACACTTTGCCCTTTACACTCCTCACTCCAGACTCTGCACTCTACACTCCACACTCTACACTCCACACTCTACACTCCACTCCACACTTTACACTCCACACTCCTTACTTCACACTCCACACTCCACACTCTACACTTTCCACTCCACACTGCAGACTGCTAACAAGGGAAACATGTACAAGACTGTTCAAATAAACTATTGCAGAAAGGTATTGTGCGTCACTGCATAACCATGTGTATTGACATCTGTACCATTAACATGCGTGTGAGCATTCGGGTTCGTGGGCTTCATCTTGTTTTTTTTATCACCCCAGTAGCGCCTTCAGCATCCATTCGTTGGATTGTTCATGATTTTTCCAACATTGACATCATAGCATTCCATCAATGACATGGTCACATGGTTTCCCTTCATGATAAGCCATGTTGATCCATGTTGATCCTCTTTTTGTGGGCATCTATGCACGGCATTGCAATGATGGCTTCGAGCCACACAAAACTTCAAGCACTCGCCCTGAGAGAGCGTCTGCTTTGCCCCACTATGTCTGCAAGCATGTTGCTGGGAAGCCATCAACTTTGCTGCCCATGCACTGAAATGCGCAGAAATGTGAACCTCGATTGCGTTGCATCTTGTTTGACTGGGTAATGGCACTGTCACATACCCCAATTGGGAACTGAGGAAATCGATTGCTCGATGGTTCAACTTGTGTGAAAGGAATGGCCGATACTTGCTACTTGTTTGCAATAACCAGCTATATAATTTTTAGCTATTTTTAGTGCAGTTTTTCCCCACCAACCGTCAACCTTCAGACGCAGGTTAATTCATGTACATTCCATTGCAACATACTGAGGACAGCCGAGGCGGCAAAGGACATCGGGGATGCTGGAAAGCAGTTCATCGATTCGCACCTTCTGCTGTCTTTTCTTGAGATGAGGAGCTGGGTCAGGGCGTCAAAACTTCTAACAACATGTACCTGGATGTATACATGATGATGTATGTACTGTGTATTTTTGCCACTGCAACCCTTCAATCAAATATGACCAGAGTTTATAGACTTACAACCGGTTGGACCCTTCCTAGAGGAGACTGCATGGACAAGGTGGTCCACCCAACCCACAACGAGTTGTCAGATGGATTTGCAAACCGAAAATTCACTACTATTTTGACCACCAACCACTTCTGATGGCACTTCGCCGGCAGAACATTCGCCATACAAATTGTTTTACTGATGAAGATGCCATGGGGTGGCTGAAGAACATCAGTAGACGACCTATGGAAGTAATTTTGAACGAAAGGTGCTTGCAGCTTCAAGACTACGGCTCAAACTGACAATTTTCAATGCGCGGCACTTGAATCGTACCGCTGCACGCAGGAGCAAGCGATAAAAAGGATTGCAAAGCAAGTCCACAAACTAATCTGAAAAACAAAAATCCGTGGCTCTGATTGTGCAACTGCGCTGTGTGCGTTTGGGTGTATGTGTGTGAAGCACGCATACGTGCCCCCAAAATGGGGGAAGGGTGTGCACCTGATGCCTGGGTGTGCAAAGTATCTTACGCGGTTTCGCTGACCAACGGGGTTGAACAAAAAGGCCAAGAGGCTGTGTGCGCGAGGGGATGGGCTTTGTGACCATCTTTTAATCCAATTTGGATGTTGTTGAGGGGAGATGCTTAAGAATTACCAAACATCGAGCATATCATATGGGAATTTGGATGTTCTTGAGGGGAGATGTTCGACAATTATCAAACATCGAGCATATCATATGAAGGTATGTTCATGGGAAGTGGTAGTTTGTTCATAAGGAAGTGGTAGTTTG